AAAAAAATCCGTTCATCGAGTGACGAAGCTCGTACAAAAAAAAAAAAAAAAAAAAAAAAAAGAAAAAGAAAAACCTTCTCTAGTGCAAGCAACATGGAGAACGATCCGGCCAACAACTGGAGAAGATATTGACTTTAATTACGAATCTTGAGACCTTGGCCACCCCTGATCGGTACGTTTACGTCGGCCTCGAGCGTTCCTCGCGGTTTATTTTCCCCTGCCAATTTGCAGAGGAAAGATTGGGCCCGCGAGAGACGCCCAAGACGTTGGTGGAACAAGATGGAGAACACGCGAGAGGAGAACCGGCGCGTTTTGAACGAGGAGGAGGAGGACGAGGACGGCGAGGACGAAGAGAGGAAGGAGGAGGAAGAAGGTACTGGAAGAAAAAGGAGATCGGTCTGATCACACATGACAATGTACGACGAAGGCATGATGGATGAGGGGGCGGCTAGTTTACGTGATCGGGACATGATCGCCGGCAAACGGGGTGGTCTGTCTGTCCGCGTCCGCGTCCGCTCGGTTTTCTCTTTCTTTCCGGGCGAAGTTGGCGCTCGTTCCTCGCGTCTTTCGCTCTCCCCTGCCACGAGAATGCTCCACACGCGCATACGAACGCACTCTCGAAAGCACACCCCTGTCACTGCTCTGACCGATCTTGTTGTCATATTCTACGGACGCGTCCATATTGCTATATGGAATATGGAGAGAGAGAAGCTGCTTATCCTCTTTACCCTCGGGCTTTTGCGTGCCTTTTATGCCGCGTTCACGCCGTATACGCCGGGCCCCATAGTGACAATAGCGGAAAGTGAAATTGCGAGAAGCGAGACCGATATGACGTTACTTCCTTGCAGAGTTTTCTACTTCGCTTGATTTTTCGTTTCTGCCACACTAACGAGGGAACATACCGAAATCGGAATCGCCGATTTTTGATGAAATTTGACACGAATGCAGTTTTCAGAAAAATATTTTTGACCTGTATTTGTTTTTTTATCGGCAATGTTCTTCGACACTGAAGAGGTGAAAACTACCCTCATAGTTGGGGGTGTAAAACATATTTTGTCAAATATCTCTTATTGGTAATTATTGAAGATACCGTTTTTGTGTAATTGATGAAATTAGTGTTTTTTCAACAACGAATTTAATGGTGTATACCATTTTGTAAAAAAACCTTTCGTTTAAACAATATATTCAAAAAATCGTATTTTTGATAAGTTTTCCCAAGTAAATGTTAACAGATTTTCTCGAATATTTGTTTATGAATACTATATGTTCAAAGACAAATTATAGATAAAATAGAATCTTGATTTTTTCGTTATAAAAAAATTTATTATTTTCAAATCTTTTTTACTGGACGTGCAAAGCAGGGTGTATACTAAAGTATATTTTAAAATATTAAATGTTAATATATTTTAGTTCTGAAAAACGCTGATTTCATTGTTCAGTTACTGCTTTTTTAAAATAGATACTCGTTCGAGACATGTTCAGTTACTAAATGTAATTTTCGAAGTAGTGGTGCTCGAAACCGTTAAAAAAAAGAGTCTCCGAGGATTTTTAATTGAGACGATACTGTGTCATTCGTTTTTTGGAAGATTAATTTTGGAAGGTAACTTTGCGACGATCTACAATTGTCACGCAAAATATACTCAGTGTATTTGTTGTGTTACACCACGATATATAATGTCAATATAAACGTTGCACTTACTCGTGGCTGTATTGGCCGTCTACTGTCGAGTTTGGCTTTTGAGTAATATCACATGTGAACTTGCCTTGTTCAATCGAAAGTTGCCTTTTCAATCAAAACAATTTTGGTAGTTAAACTACTAACGAACTACTAACTTGGCGAAAAACTTTCAAGATTGAGATTGAAAGGTTCAACGATTCTTAAAATCGTAACTTGCATCTTGACGATGTTGATTACTCGATGAAAATTAGATCGTTTCTCGATCGATTGAGAATTAAGCCGTTTCTGTACGTGTTGAAAATTCTACTTCCCGCGAGGCTGTTTCTGTTAGAACGGGCTAGTTCAATCTAATCAGATTAAAAAAACGAGCCGTTTAATTGCTCTGCTGTAGGTCATCTAACTGTGAAATTAAACGATTGTTTCTAAATGACGGCAAATGTAGTCGGTTTGTCAGTGATAGTCTTGACCTAGGCGATGCTTTTGACAACGAGTCTCGATCTGGTAAATATTAAAGGGAACCATTCAGAGGAACGTCCAACGTAAAAATATAAATTAAACCACGATTAACCAACGAGGAATTTTTAATATCCTTGCGCTAACAACAGTGCTCGTTCCTTATTCAGAAATTTTTTGCTCAATTTTCATTTCGCGACTCTTTTAAACTATATACCGGATTTTTAAGGAACCTTGGGCCTTCTTTCTTTTCAAAGTCGAACGATCCGATGCTTCCCTAATTTTCCGCCTCGAATTCGAATCCTCCGGTCTATCAACGCCACTCTACCGAACACTTTTAACCAGAAAATCTTTCTCGACGAATATCGATTAGCGTCGATCTGAAACGTCGTTCGCAGGATCCAACCACGGGGCTCTCCGTCAGCGATTTAAATTTCAGATCGTTGCAGACCGAGTTGAGTCGATCGCCTTCCGTTGGCCTCTTTCTTTCTCTCTCTCTCTCTCTCTCTCTTTCTTTCTTTTTCACTTCTTGCTTGCAGCGCAGTTTTTTTACGCGCGATCCGACGAAACGCCGCTGAAATTTGTACGGACGTGTAGCGGCCATAGAGGCAGAGAGACGAGAAACTCACGCTGTTACGAGCGTACAGGAGCGCGGAGACGACTTTCTGACGAAGGAGCGAATCACCGGGAGACCGGGAGTTTTCGGAGGTCCTCCGCTCGCGCGGAGAGACCAGTAGCCCCATTCGTCGAAGTATCCCGCTGACCTTTCTCTCCTTCTCTTGTCCGCTCGATTCTCTCTTTAACAGAGTCGACGGTCGGTGGATCATCGTGAAATTCTGACGTGTAAGGAATGCTTTGCCCGGTGCCGAGAGGGACCAGCCCCGAGACGCGCTGTTGCTGCTGCTGCTGGATCTCGTTCCCCTCGTGCTACCGACTCGAAACGCGAACCGTTCGAAAACCGTCTTCCTCCTCCTGTCGTTCCTCTTTGACACTCGGCTGCGCCGTCGTGTCCCGACGTTTCGTTTTCTGGCAGCGACGTTGATTCCTCAGATATATCGCCGAGGCGGAGAAGCGAGGCCGCGCGAAACCATCGTCCGATGTCTAGTTTGAAGAATTCTTAATTAAATCTCCGTCGGACGGAGCTTTTTGGCAGGGGCTCGTTTCGATCGCGGAGGGCGCTCCCTGCGGCGTGGGTCACGTGACATCTGGGACCAGCGTGCGGGACGAGGTAATGGGACTATTAGGAGATTCCCTTCGTTTCGTAGAAATAGTAATTCATCAACGATTTGTATAATGATGTTCGAATTATTATGTGTACGAAACATACAAAGTGAAAAAGAAAGAACAACATTTTTTTCACGAGAACCTTCGCTTCGGGCTTGAAAATTTATCAAGTATGTATGTATAGTCAATTCAGTACTGAACAGGCGCGATGATACTCTGTGCCTGAAAATAAGCGGGAAGGATAGAACGAAATGTGGAGAAGTCGAGAAAATAGGCTTTGAATACGTTTCGTTGAAAATTGACAAATTTTCAAACTCGAGCTTCTCGAAAACGAGAGACATCTCGCAAAAATATTTTATCCCTAAGTAACCTCCAATGGCTATGTTAATTACTCCTTTCTATCACGTCAAGCATTAGCTAAATTCAAGAATATACTTGGTAAATTTTCAAACTCGATTTTCTGGAAAACGAAAAGTCTGTAACGAAAAGATTTTGTTCTCATTTTTTTCTTCACATGGAATTACCCTTTACTCGGTTGTGCCACTGTATAAGCAAAGAACTTTAAACATCGATCTATCAATTAATTGTTAGTTCTATGATTCTAGAAATGTCTGGTCAACCCCTTGTCTACTTTTGGCGCCTATATTATTGACAATAATTGCAACAAAAAGATCTTGGATAACGATGAATTCCGATTCAACAATTGCATTTTCCGTTAGTCATATATTATTTAAACGTTATTATTTTATTATTTCATTTAATACCCTTAAAATGAAAAAGTGTAATAAATTAATAACAAATTAATCACAAAAAGAGTGTCCGTAGTGTGTAGAAAACATAACGGAAGAAGGGAGATTGCATTACGAATGTAAGAAATTTGATGTAGGATTATACATTGACCCATATTTCGAATTGTATCATATTTTACTAGATTATTAGGTATATTACGAAATATAGCTCAGAGTTGCTGTTCAATTTTTAGTATGTGTACCAACATGTTCGATACAGAATTTCAAATAAAGAAATAATATTGGTTTAACGTAGTTCTCAGTGTAGGTCGCTCGTAGTCAAAGGGACGATTCAGTTAACAGTGTAACTAAAATGATACGAAAGTATAAAAGAAATCCAAGATCCAATCAGCAATGAGCATGTTAAGCACGTCGTATTTGTACATATTTCACAGAACAGCCAACTTTCGACACATGAAACATATCGGTGGTTACAATGGTGGTCGTGCGATAACGTGAGGGGGCAATCAAGAAAATTACGGTTAAGGATGTTAAACCACGAGGGTATAAGGAGAAAACCCCCCCACGGGCGGGGATCACGGAATCGAGTTTCGATCGACGTTTTACCTCCTACGGAGACAAATGCAGGAGCCCGATATCCGCGTAGGAACGCCTATCGATCCTCGCCGTCGAAGGTCATTCGTTTTCGTCCTAAATCCAGCGAGATTGAGGGACGCGGCTCGATAAATGCCGGCGCAGAAATTGATTTAGAAGATTTTCACGGGCCGTTTGACCGCGCGGAAACCTGTGGACAGAGAAACGGAGAACGCGTGTTGTTGTTCGGCAGGACGTCGATGTGTAACGGGGGCGCTCGATCACACACAGATGACCAATCAGGGAGCCAACTGTTTCTCAGCCGAGTTGGGAAACCGAGGAACCGGTCGGTACGCCGGTTGTTATCGCGTTCTCTAGTAAGTACGCCATAGTACCCTCTCAATGATCCTTCTTCGGCAGAGTCTTTCCGTGAACTGCGTTTTATAGCGTCTCGTACATTCTCGCGACTTAACCTAACCGCCCCTCTCACAATCAGTAGGTACTTTCACAAGTAGGTACTTTCGATCATTTTCAATGCTCTTAGTTTCTTACTTGGTCTCGCAGTTTTCTATCCTAATTTAAATTTGACGAAAATTTAAAAACAAGTTGGAAGATTAATCGTTGTTAAT